ATAAGTGCTTCCCTGGCAAGTGCAAGGGCCTGAGTTCAATCGCTGGTTCTGCAAAAAAAAAAAAAAAAAAAAAAAAAAAGGAACAGTTAATGTTTAAATTTTCACACACCTACAATATTTGAATGACAATGGAATACCCTTCTCTGACAAAACAAAACAAAAAAGGGGGATACAAATGAATGACCATTTTGTATCTGTACATTCAAAATAGGATAGATATACAGCTGCATTCTCTTAATTCAATGAGTAGAGAGATTTGTTCTAATAGTGTTTGTGGACAGGATATCATGCCTGCATCTTGTACAATGAATAACCACTAGGGAACAATATACAATGTATTAATTATTGAAACTGTGCTAGTAATCAGTTTTGAAGCTGTCTCATTGCTATTTGTTTCTCAATAAGATTATTAAAAAAAAAAAAAAAAGAACAATCTAGAGAGTATGTGTAGGCTCAACCGGTCTTGAGTCATTTGCTACCAGACCCAAGTCATCCTGGTCAGGGCAGCCCCAGGGCTCTTGGAGCTTTCTGTGCCTGAGGCCTTGGGCCTGGGATTTGTCTGTCTTAGTTGCCTGCTGGTGTGTGTGTGGAAGCCCTACGCAAGCACATTTCTCTCCGAGATCTCTGCCTTCCCTACTCTCTCCAGCTTCATTCTCTTCCATCTAGGTTTCCAGCAAAGCATTTTGTCCGCATCCCAATCCTCTTTCTTTTTTGAGACTTAACCAAAGTTTAAAAAAGCCTCAATTGGAATCCTTCCCTTGGAGAGAACTTACTACCACCTGTTCCACCTGAGTGAATTAGAAAAGAGGGGCTGAGGTGTAGCACCGTGGTACAGTGTGCCTAGCAGTATGAGGTCCTGGATACAGCCCCTGCCACACCCTGGAAAAAGAAAATTCTCCCAATGAGTTATTCTTCTTCAGAAGCAGCTCCTCTGCTCCATCTTTGCTGAAAGGTTCGAATTAAGTTACCAGCATTGGCCAGGCATGGTGACATGCACCTGTAATTCTAGCACTTGAAAGATTGAGGCAGGAGAATTAGAACTGTGAGTTCAAGGCCAGCCTGAGCTGCATATTGAAACCCTGTCTCAAAAAGACAAAAAAAAAATTACCAGCATTGACTGTGTCTTCCCTGGTTAGAGCTTCCTTGGGCCAGGTACAGCTGGTCTTGAGGGTTAGCACATAAGGAAATCAAAATAAGAGGTTTCCCTCTGAGATATTTTTCTTGGAAAGGTGAGAATGAGCAGCAAGCATGACTAGGGTGGAGGATAAATTTTTCTTCCCTTTGAGAGCTTTCAGCTTTTAGGGGTCCTGGGCAGGAGCCCAGGAAGACTGATAAGAGATGTCTTCCAAAGTACCTCAAGCTAGAGCAGGACAATGGGGCCCCCTCTGTCTGGAATGGCATGGTGTGCGCATCATGGTAGCTCCAGTTCAGGGTGAGTTGCCATGGGTGAGACACTGAACCTCTGTGGACTTTTATCTCCATATCCTTTGTCTAATGGGCACAATGTCTGGTCTTCTGAGAGCTTCCAGAGTATATTTGCATATTGAGTGAGATGTGAAGCGTAAAGCAGAGTTGCTAAGGAATTTGGAGTGGGAGAAGTGTTTCTTTTGCATCTGTCTTGGAATTTCTAATTCAAATGCATGGGTATTTATTTCTTTCTTTATTATTATTATTTTTTTTTTGCAGAACTTGGGATTGAACTCAGGCCCTTGTGCTTGCCAGGCAAACACTCATTGTACTGAGCTATCTCCCCGGCCCCTGCACGGGCATTTATTGAGGGCCTGTTTGTTTTAACTGGTGAATAAGATATTTGCAACCTGGAAGAGAAGTACATACTAGGTACAATGAAGGGCTCGGGGGATGGGCGTGGACATTTGGAGACCCACTGGGGACTCTCGAAATCTGGGGAACAGTCCAAGAGCTCAGGTATTGGGGAGATAGTACTGAGATTGTAGTTAGTGATGGGTTGTAGTTTTAATATTCTTTTTATTATAACAAATACAAATGGTATAATTTGGTTGAAGAAAGATGGAATTTTAGGAAAAGATCCCAGGATGCCTCAGGGAACTCAGAGGGAAGGTGGAACTAGAGCTCAGGAGAGACTAGCCCAGATTCTATGTACCCTATTCTGTCAAAATCTCAGTAGTGAGCCAGGTGTGGTGGTACACACCTAGAATACCGGCACTCTGGAGGCTGAGGTAGGAGGATCGCCATGAGTTCAAGGCCAGCATGGGCTATATAGTGAGTTCAATGCCAGCCTAAACTCTATAATGAGAACTTGTCTCAGAAAAAAAAATCTCAGTAGCTTCTTTGCAGAGATCAGTAAATCAAATCTTAAAATTCATATGGAAATTCAAAGATAATCTTGGAAAAGAAGAGCAAAGTTGGAAGACTGTATTTTCAGTTTCAAAACTTATCACAAAGCTACAGATGGTATGGTACTGGCATAAAGACAGATGTACAGAGCAATGGAATAGAATTCAGTTCAGAGAGAAACCCTTACATTTGTGTTCAAATGCTTTTCGGCAAGGGCAAAAAGACAATTCAATGGAGAAAAACAGCCTTTTCACAAATGTTACAGGGACAACATAATATTCACACATAAAATAATAAAACTGAATCCTTCTCTCATACCATATGGGACAGTTATCTCAAAATGGATCCAAGACTTAATGTTAGAGCTAAAATTCTGAAACTATTAGGAGAAAATGGTTGTAAATCTTTATTTGGATAAGGGAAAAGATTCTTTAAAAAGACACCAAAGGCATAAAAAACAAGCAGTAACAATGAAGAGTAGATCTGGGCGTGATGATGCATGTTTGTAATCCCAGCATGCAGGATGCTGAGGCAGAAAGGATCACCGTGGAGTTCGAGGCCAGCACAGGTTACATATTCAGCTCAAGGCCAGCCTGATATGCATTGTGAGACCTTATCTAAAAAAAAAATCAATTTCATCAAAATTAAAATTTTGGGGCCACGAAGATAGCTTAGTAGAATAAGCTCCTGCTTGGCAAGCGCCAGGGCCTGAGTTAAATCCCTGGTTAAAAAAAAAATTAAAAAAATTTGCTGAAAGGATACTATCAAGAAAGAAAAAGGAAAACACATAGAATAAGTACAGTATTTCCAAGACCTTTATCTCATAAGACTCATCTAGAATGTATAAAGGCCTCTTATGGCTCAATAATACAAAGACAAATAGCACAATTGAAAAAAATTGGGAAAGAGGGTTAAAGTTTTAGCTTAGTGGTACAGTGCTTCCTTGTATGAGGTCTTGGGTTTGATCCCTGGCATCATAAAAAAAAAGGACCAAGATTATGAGTAGACATTTCTACAAAGAAGACATACTCATGGGCAATAATCACATGAAAAGATGTTCAGCATCATTAATCACGTAAGAAATGTAAAAGAGAACTACCGTTAGTGACCATTTCACAACCACTAGAATGGCTGTGATGAAACAGACAGAGAATAAGCAGTGTGGGTAGCAGGGTGGGGTGGCACACACCTGTGACCTCAGCACTCTGGGAGGCTGAGGCAGGAGGATTGCAGGTTTGAGCTCCATTTGACTATTCAGTGACTTTGTAAGACCTTACCTCAAATTCCAAAATAAAAAAGGGGGGCCAGATATGTAGTTCAGTGTGAAGACCCTAGGTTCAATCCTTAGTACTGGGGAGACAAAACAAAATAAAACAGACCAGGAGGTTGGGGATAGCAGTTGATTGGAACTCTTATAAATTGCTGCTGAGAATGTGAAGCGGGATATTTGCTTTGGAGAATAGCTTTCTCTCTGAAAGTTCCTCAAAAGCTTAAAATACAGAATTATCATATGACCAGCAATCATTTTCTTGGGTAAATACCCAAGATAAATGAAATAATACATTTTCAAATATATGTTTCACAAGTTTTGTTTGCACAAAAAGTGGTACACTAATATTCATAGCAGCATTATCAATAATAACCCCAAGTGGAAGCAACCCAAGTGGAATGTTATTTGGAAAAGAGGTCTTGGTGGGAACATTTATAACATGGAAGAAACTTGCAGGCTGCTACATGGAAGAATGTAGGCACTAAAAACAGCATGTTGTATGATTCTTTATGTTAAATGTCTAGAAAAGGCCAGTCCCCAGAGATGAAGTAATTGGTGGTTTCCCCTGGCTTGGGCATTTGTTGGGAGAGGGGTAAGGTGAGAGAACTCTAAAAAACACAGGTTTCATTTTGGAGCAAGAAAATTCTGGAATAAGACAGTGTGATGATGATAGCTGTAATGGCTGCACAACCTTGTGACTGTACTACAAACCATGAAATCACACACTTACAAGTGGCACACAAGGTTTGATCAAAATATGTGGTAAGTGTTAAAATTAAAAAATTTATTACAGTAAAAGGCACATTGCCATTAATCTCCCTTAGAATACTCCCCTTTGTGGGCCCCTGGGGTGATAGCTCAACAGATTAATATGCCTGCTTAGGCAGACGCAGGGACCAGGGTTCCATCCCTGGCATGCAGTGCCAGCTATCTGGCTGGCACGCAATAACTTTTT